TCATTGGCCAGAGAATCGAAAGATAGAAAGAAAACGTGGCCATAGATACATTACATACCGCAGTCGTTTCACTTTAAAACGTAAAAATTCATTCCATCAGCTAATCTTTCATAATTCTGTGCTACGAGAACGTGGTTTTGAAAATATTTTCTGAGATATACTTACAATTTATTTTAGATTGATCAGTTTCACTTCTCTATTTCTCATACATACATATAGGGTCTCACTGACATCCATGTCCAAACTTACATTGACTGACTAAAATAATTATTTATAATAATTTGATTTAAATCGAATTGCAATAAGTATTAAAGAAATACTTTATGATAATATGAATATTTATAATCTAATTTAAAATAAAAAAAAAATAAGGTTTTTCTTTAATGACATAAGCTCATGGGTCACTTGCAGGACAGGTTATTAAATTCAAATTAATTTTCCTGCGATCAGCTAATTAAGCGTTTTAAGGATGTATTGTACGAAATAGATTACTTGTTTATTTAATTTTTAGTTAATATTGTATTTTTTTTTGTTATTATAATTGAATTTCTAAGAAATGTTCACCCATTCGTGATGCTGAGAATTTGCTAAAGACAGCACATTTTTTAGAAGGAGTATTTACAATAAAAATTATAAAATTAAAGTTAAAAATTCGCAAGAATATTTCAACCGTATTATTAAAGTGCTGAATTAAGCCTATTCGTATCAAATTTCATTATTGTTAATTCATTTTCAGATCTTTTTTGTTTATTAAATATCCTTTAATATGTATAACAAAATGATTACCTACCTAGTATTGAATAGATGGTTGAAGAAAGTGTTTTTTATTTACAATTAGGTTAGGTTGAAAATGAGTGCGACTGTGGCTCATGTCTAAATTCACTGTAAAAGCCACACATTTTGATGAAGGTCATGGTCGAATTGTTTAAAGTGGGTAGGCTCCAGTCGGGTGAATCCGAAGATCAGGAACCTGTTTATTTCCAAAGCGGAGCAGTAAAATAAAATGTGCTCTGCAGATTCGTCTTCTACGCTGCAGAATCGACAGTTCGATGTTTGTTGTAGACCTATCCTTCTCATGTAGTTACCCAGACGACAATGTTCTGTCATCAGTCCCGTGAAAATGCATAGATCTTTCCTACTCCATTCTCGAATCTGAGCAAAGGCGTTCATGGAAGGGTTGGTTATGAACTACTTCGAATGAGTTAGCCCTGGGGTATCTCTCCAGTTCGTTAGTGTTGCACCCTCCGTCCATTTCGAGATAATTCCTTTGACAGTGCTCTTTGGAGTGCCCAGGAATAGTTATGGTCCTATAAACTCAGATTCGGTTCATCTTTTACCGAGCGCGTCCACTTTTTCATTGCCCTCCACACCGCTGTGTCCCGGAACCCAGATCAAAGTAACTTTGTTCTGGGCACCGAGACATTCAAGGATATTTATACAGTTCCAAACCAGCTTTGAGTCAATTCGATTGGAGCTCACCGTCTTGAGGGCTGCCTGGCTATCCGAAAAGATCTTTATAATCTTGTTTTCGGGGAGAAAATTAATCAACTCTCTCGTTTCCAATTCTATAGCAATCATTTCTGCTTGGAAGATCGTGGCCAGAGAGCCTAGGTTTATTGATAAGTCAACTATTGACTTCTGGACGAAAACTCTTGCTCCTACTCCTTTCTCAGTTTTGGAGCCGTCCGCTTACAGCGCTTAGTCCGCCTGGGAGAAGGTTCTATTTCTCCGATCCATATGTCTCTCTGAAATGAGGAAGCTGTATGGCCTTTCTATGTGCTGTCGAGGAACTAGCGAGATGTGAGACCATGCCGAGGATGTGGTGGTTATTAATCTAACTCATCAGTCCCGTCGTGTCACATGCAGTTCTTAGTTGCATTGACTACCCACTTTCAGGAGTCTATAGGAGATCATCCTGGCTTCCCAGCAAAAGGTAGAGAGGGGTTAGGTTCAGCATGGTCTCCATAGCTCCCGTTGGTGTGGTTTACATTTACTCAGTTATGGCGAGGCAGGCAAGCCGCTGGATTCCAGCCAGCTTTGCTTTAGCCGTCCGTCGAAGTCCCTTGTCCCACCCGACGACGGAGCCGTTCGTAACCATGGGTTTTACCATTGTTTGGTAAATCCAGTAGATTAGTTGAAGACTGAGATCCCCATGCTTTGCCGCATATCTTCCTGACAGTCCAGAGGAATAATGTTGATGATTTTATCCAATTGGGGGTTCCAGATGAGTTCTTATATTTTTTTTTTAGCTGAGGGCAAACCGCTTGGCACTAACCGCTGGGTCTATGCAGTTGGTAGTGCCGGGCGCTACTCCGTTCACCTCTGTGGTGTCCTCTTTTCACCCTGGGACCGCCTTTCGGCATTTCATCAGGGTGGGGACTTCGTGATTTGGGTTTACATATTTTTCTATTTCACCCTTTCCTTATATTCCTCCCATTTTCTTTTCATTATTTTCCTAATGTTTTCCGGTATTTTATTCCAATTTCCCTGGTCTTCTATCATTTTTCCCATGATACATACAATTTGAGTCACTGGCTTTCCCTATCCTGTATGTGTAGCTTTTAAATGAGCCATGCCCACTTAGACACTGCGTTATGTAGTTGTCCGTCTTTGTCAATTGTGCCGTTACCTCTGTGTTCTCCCATTCTTCCTGCCACATGGCTATTGAGTTATTCTTTTCTGTCCTTTTGGTTATATCGTTCATTTCCTCACCTCTTTTTTCTCTCTTTCCTTCACTATTAATGTAATTGGTATAATTCCCGCTAGGCCGCCTCTAGATATTGTTCGATAGGCACAGGATACTTTGATCAAAATTTTTCTTTGTGAGCTCTAGATCATTTTACTATAAGTTTTGGTCTCAGTTATCCTATGCCATATCGTTGCTCTGTATAGGAGGATGGAGTGTACGACCTGGCTTAGTATTTCCCTCTTAGGTTGAGATGGGCCACTTATGTTTGGCATTAGCCTTGCCAAGGCTGCATAGGATTACTCCGCTTTTTCCACAGTCTTCCTAATATGGTCGTTGTATATCAGCTTGCCATTGATGTAAATTCCAAGACTTTTTTCATTTCTAATAGGTGTTATTACTGCGTTCATTACGTTGAAGGTTATACTTACTCTGTTGCTTGGTCCCCTAAATATGACCGCGGTAGTCTTTTGCGTAGCCAGTCTAAGGCCGTTTCTATCCATCCAGTCGCATATTTGGATTATTAATGTATTGGCGTTCTCAATCAGACCCGCTTTTGATCTAAATATCACTATCAAAGTGAGATCGGCTGCGTATGCGCCTGTTTCGCAATCTGTCGGCAGTTGGAGTTGCAGTTGGAGTTGTAGTACGTCGTTGTATGTAATGTTCCACAGGGTTGGACCGAGAACGGAACCCTGTGGAACACCGTGGATCATTTTCTTGCTGTATCCTTTGACTGATACTTGTCTATTCTGAAAATAACTTTTGATTAGATTTGTTAACCATTTTGGCGTGCCGTTGTCTTCGAGTTTTCTGTTAATTAGGTGCCATTTTGCCGTGTTGAATGCGTTCTTAATGTCCGGGCTTACAATAGCTTGACAATAGTGGTCCGTATTTCTAGTGGTCGCTGCGGATGCTTCCACGGTAGATTTCCTTTCCCTAAAATCGCATTGGGAGTCGGAGATTGTAATGTATTCCTCTAGTTTTTTACTAATTAGGTGTTCTAGAAGCTTACCTAGTACGTCCAGAATACAGATGGGCCTAAATTTACGTTCTTCCGGTTTCCCTTTAGGGATGAGTACAACTCTGGCATTTTTCCATGTCGTGGGGAATTTTTGTGGGCTGGCTATTTTGTTGAATACCTTGAGGAGCTCATTTGGTATTTGCCAGTCGGGGAAAAGCTCGTCTATAACCCTCCTTTTGATATGTCTTGTGGCAATTTTATACCCCTGTCCCCAGACATCATTTTCTAGTTCAGTGCATAGTTTCTTCCATCTGTTCCTTTTCGATGTGTTTATCTCCTTCCTGTATTCAGTTTTCCCTGTTTTGTATGCATTTTCTAGGTGTTGCATTTGCTCTGGGGTAATAGTCCTATTTCTTCTGGTCCTCGTGAGCTTTCTTCTATATGTTGCAAAATTTCCTGATGGCGGTGATGTCTTCATTCCACTAGTATGGTGTGTTGCGTTGTGGGCCCTGCGCGTGACTCATCTCACTTGAGTGCTTTGGTTAATTTTCCTGGTACTTTGCCTGTATTGTGTCTTAGCAGGGCCAGTGCGTTTCACAGGTTTTCTGCGTCAATCTATATTTTTGGTCTGTATAGCTGTCTTTTTTTATCTTGACTTGTTCCCGTTTTGACCACCTCAAACATGATGAATCTATGCAGGCTTAATGATTCCTCGAGTGATACCGTCCAACTTTGTATTTTTCTGGAGGAGCTTTCTAATGCTAGAGTTAAATCTATGTAAGATGCACTTGTTCCTCTGATAAATATGGGTGTTTGGCCATTATTTATATCTATTATATATAGAATCGCCATCCATTTCTCCATGTTTGTGCCCCTTCCATCTATTACATTTTGACTCCATAGCCTCGATTTCGCGTTAAAGTCCCCGAGGATTATGTGATTTGTATTATTTGTTCCCTTGACATCTTCCATGTCTCGTCGATCTTCCCCTGAAATTCCACTCTTGGAATATTCGGTGATTTTTTTTTTTTTTTTTTTTTTTTTTTTTTTTGTAATAGGATGGCATCAGACATGCAAGTCTATTTACCACAGAAAGTTTTAACTTAATAATTTTTATATATATTATATTAAATATCTATTTTAGTATTTTGAGTAAATTTAATAATATCGTCAAAAATTATCTTATCTGATTGAACTAAAAGTGAAGAAATATTGAGTGGAAGTGGGAGTGAAAGTTTATTTAAATCTTGATACAATACGGTGGTATGTTGAGCATTTTTATTACAATCTAAAAATAAATGATTGATATCTGCTACAGCGTTTATATTGCAATATGGACAAAAGGGAGAATCCAATATTCCAATTTTACATAAATGTGATTCGGTGAGTTATAAAAGATCATTCCATTTATATTTATTTTTACATATCCTGTTTTGCATGAGTGTTCCAGTGTGCCTACGTTTTTATTTCTAATATAGACTGCTACATCTTTCCTAGAGTCTGAGATTAGTCCCAGGTTTGTAACGTTCTTTTTGTTTGGCTCTTGTAGAAATATAATATCTGTATCGTGTGCCCCCCCTGGCACGTCCGATGTTAATTTGTAATATTTTAATGGACATCATATTGATATTAATTTGTTAGCTCGGTGCTGTTACAGCTACCGTGGCACGAGCCTCATTTACCAGTTCGTCGCATTGTCTACTAAAGGAATCTTCAGAGGTATTGGGCTCTTCTTTTTCATCTTGTTTTCTGTCTTCGTGGGGTCTTTCGGCTGTAGGTGCCACAAAGTTCTTGTTTTTATTCTCCAGTCTAGCATTCTTAAGGATGATTTTGAATTTTGGACACTTCATGGTGCCCATTTTATGTCCTGCCTCTCTTCATAGTGGGCATGTCTCTTCGTGTTTACATTCTTTTGAGATGTGATCTCTCTGTCCACATTTAAAACAGTCTTTGGATTGGTCTGGGCTATTACATGTGTCAGAATAGTGGTCGTACGACCAACATTTCTGGCATCTTCTGATACTTAATCTCTTCTCTATCCTACATTTGACGAGACCACCCGCAGGGAGCCTTCCTCCAAAATTTTATTTGCGTCGTTTGATTTTAGAGTGAGGATTGCTGCTAGGGTATCGTTGCTAAGTGGACGGAGTTCACTTATCTTATTATCGTCTTCCGATTTGCCCGTGATTTCTATAATGGATTGTGTTTGATGTCTTCTTGCTAAGTGGACGGAGTTCACTTATCTTATTATCGTCTTCCGATTTGCCCGTGATTTCTATAATGGATTGTGTTTGATGTCTTCTAGGGAGTGTCTGCTTCCATCCCTCTCAGATGTATGGCTCTACTCTTCTCTAGTCCTAGCCTCCTTGTTTTTAGACCCGTGATACTGTCCTGTTGTGTTGTGTAAGTTACTGAGATCTGTTTGATCTTTTCTATCGTAAGTAGTAGTTTCCCGTCTTTTGTGCTTCTTAGGCCTCTGATGGCTTTGACCGATGAATTACTTCCAACGATAGTCTTGACTCTGCCTAGGACTTCCTTTTATGCTTTTTCACTGTCGCTGATGATCATTCCATACGTTGTTTTAATCTTTTCCGCTTCCCTTTTATTCGCTGTGGTGTAAATGGCCACTTTAGTATTCGTTTTATGGAATATCATTTCAGTCATCTTCTGGAGGTTCTCTGGTGTGGTGTTGATGTGGTGGATTGCCACCCTCTCGTCTGACAGGGTCTCTTCCTTGATCCTCTGTAGTTTTTCCCATGTGTCCGGTATGGTTTCGTCGTGGTGGACCTCGATTATCTTTTTCCTTAATTTCGTTCCATCGTTTTCTGACTTTATTTTCGTGATTTGCTCTATGACCTCGAAATCTTTAATATTAATTAGTTTGGGGAATTTTTCCCGGTACAATCTCTGGATAGAAGAATTCATGTCTTTATCGTTTGTTTCGATCAACACCACCTTAGTGGTTTGATTACTTGTGACCAGAGGATTCCCCACGATAATTTCTGTCTTTCGAATAGGCTCTGGTCCCATTTCATGCTTTTAATTCGTCTGTATTGGTCTAGCTCTTCGATACCCTCTAGGGAACTTAACTCATCTTACTTGTGTGCCGTGCCACGGTTCAGTTTGTGTCTAAATTTCTGCCGTCACCTTTTTTCCTTTTCGGCATAGTTTGGGTGTCCACATCGAAGGTGGATTTCTCTATTGGTTCTAGTGTGTTTTTTTCTAGCCATTTTGTTACGCTTTCTCTTTCGAATTCTTCGTTATTTTGGACCATTTTCTTTGTAAGTTCCTTGATTTTCCGGTGAGGGTTGTATTTCGCTCATCATTTTTTCTAGTATATCAACTAGGTTTTTGTTTCTCTCGATGGCTTCGTTTAAAATAAAAGCTTCTACACTTTCCCTTTGCTTATATATATATTGTAATGGAATTGAATTAACAAAAATTTTAAATTAAAAGTTAGTCAGTAAAATATTTTTGTGTAAATAATAAATTTAAAATAAAATCATCCTGTAAAGCAAATTTGGAATTTGAGTGAAGGATGTCAATTTTGAAATTTAAGAAAAAAAGGTCAGAAATATCCCAGATAAGTGGTTGGTTGTCTTTAAAAAAAAATATAAAACGGAAAATCAACTTTCTGTGTTCAAAGTCGTTGAATATTCTAAAGTTAGAAGTAGTGGAAATTATATAAAGATTTAAAAGAGAATACTAAAATTTAATATCTAATACGTCAAATAGACAAGTGGTATCATTCTGTTGTACGTGGAGGAAATTGGTGAAACTGCCAAACTGGACGATAATTGGAATACGGGACAAATATTTTTGGTGCAATCTGAAGTCCTGGAGTGAAAAACGAAAGAAATAATAAATTTAAATCCAGATAAAGAAATATTTTCGCGTGAGTAGAGAACATTTTCTTATCAATGTGAAAGGGTCATAAACAATCTACTTGAATGATTTAAAAAAGCTGTTTTTACATTTAGATTTACAGTTATCAGACAAATAGTTTTATTAAAGGTTATTGAATTATTTATAGTTACATTTTGATGATATAAATGTTAAAAATTTTGTGAAATGTCACCTTAAAACATCAATTTAGATAGCAAATTCTAATTAGGAGTATTGATAGTTATTGTACAGTTAGTGAATTAGACAGAAAGTTTAATTTGATTATTTGTCTGGAAAATAGTGCATAGTAGTAATAATTAGTCAGTGTGAATGGGGATGAATGTATGGTTAGTTAATTAAGTTAGTAGATAGATAATATATTTCATGTTCTGAAATTTAAATATTTGTAACGATTTAGTGGTAATAAATTGGAAACATTTGTCTATTTAAAAAATATTTACAGGGTGATACGACTTACCATAATAATAAAATTAACATACATTTTATTGACTGATTATTATCTAGTTTATTTTCTTAATTATAAATTACAATATCAAAGATTAATTGAATTGTTGTTGTTACTATAATCTAAATAATCTAATCTAAATAATCTAAATAATCTAAATAATCTAAATAATCTAAATAATCTAAATAATCTAAATAATCTAAATAATCTAAATAATCTAAATAATCTAAATAATCTAAATAATCTAAATAATCTAAATAATCTAAATAATCTAAATAATCTAAATAATCTAAATAATCTAAATAATCTAAATAATCTAAATAATCTAAATAATCTAAATAATCTAAATAATCTAAATAATCTAAATAATCTAAACAATCTAAATAATCTAAATAATCTAAATAATCTAAATAATCTAAATAATCTAAATAATCTAAATAATCTAAATAATCTAAATAATCTAAATAATCTAAATAATCTAAATAATCTAAATAATCTAAATAATCTAAATAATCTAAATAATCTAAATAATCTAAATAATCTAAATAATCTAAATAATCTAAATAATCTAAATAATCTAAATAATCTAAATAATCTAAATAATCTAAATAATCTAAATAATCTAAATAATCTAAATAATCTAAATAATCTAAATAATCTAAATAATCTAAATAATCTAAATAATCTAAATAATCTAAATAATCTAAATAATCTAAATAATCTAAATAATCTAAATAATCTAAATAATCTAAATAATCTAAATAATCTAAATAATCTAAATAATCTAAATAATCTAAATAATCTAAATAATCTAAATAATCTAAATAATCTAAATAATCTAAATAATCTAAATAATCTAAATAATCTAAATAATCTAAATAATCTAAATAATCTAAATAATCTAAATAATCTAAATAATCTAAATAATCTAAATAATCTAAATAATCTAAATAATCTAAATAATCTAAATAATCTAAATAATCTAAATAATCTAAATAATCTAAATAATCTAAATCTAAATAATCTAAATAATCTAAATAATCTAAATAATCTAAATAATCTAAATAATCTAAATAATCTAAATAATCTAAATAATCTAAATAATCTAAATAATCTAAATAATCTAAATAATCTAAATAATATAAATAATCTAAATAATCTAAATAATCTAAATAATCTAAATAATCTAAATAATCTAAATAATCTAAATAATCTAAATAATCTAAATAATCTAAATAATCTAAATAATCTAAATAATCTAAATAATCTAAATAATCTAAATAATCTAAATAATCTAAATAATCTAAATAATCTAAATAATCTAAATAATCTAAATAATCTAAATAATCTAAATAATCTAAATAATCTAAATAATCTAAATAATCTAAATAATCTAAATAATCTAAATAATCTAAATAATCTAAATAATCTAAATAATCTAAATAATCTAAATAATCTAAATAATCTAAATAATCTAAATAATCTAAATAATCTAAATAATCTAAATAATCTAAATAATCTAAATAATCTAAATAATCTAAATAATCTAAATAATCTAAATAATCTAAATAATCTAAATAATCTAAATAATCTAAATAATCTAAATAATCTAAATAATCTAAATAATCTAAATAATCTAAATAATCTAAATAATCTAAATAATCTAAATAATCTAAATAATCTAAATAATCTAAATAATCTAAATAATCTAAATAATCTAAATAATCTAAATAATCTAAATAATCTAAATAATCTAAATAATCTAAATAATCTAAATAATCTAAATAATCTAAATAATCTAAATAATCTAAATAATCTAAATAATCTAAATAATCTAATCTAAATAATTTAAATAATCTAAATAATCTAAATAATCTTAATAAACTAAATAATCTAATCTAAATAGACTTAATAAAATAAATTTAATAAATAAATATAAATTAAATAAAGTGTATAAAATTTTATAATCTAGAACCGACACCACTGAGAGAAAGGGAATCTGCTCTTAAAAAATTAAATCAGATTAAAAAAACTAGCCGGAGGTAAGTTAAGTTTGAAGTACATTTTAAATTGTGACTTTTGAATTTTTGTTAATTGTGGTAGTGGATATCATAACAAATGTCGTCCAACTAGTGGGGCATTAAATAAATAGTGGTGCACGTATATAATAAAGTGGGTCACGATTTAAATTAAATGGGACATTGAAAAATAAAAGGTGATGCATTCTCAAAATAAACCTATGTGTATTTTGTAATAAATTAATAAAAGTTTAATTTAAGTAACAGTGGCGTACCAAAAGTGATAAATAAAGAAGTGGTATATATTAAATAAAAGTTAAGTGTTATATAAACGTTTAAAAATAAGTAAAATGGATTTAAGAGGAGGAAAAACGATTGGGCTAACAGAAGAAGAGAAGGCGAAGCAAGATATAGGACAAGGAGAAACAACATATGCAAGGAAAAGTGATGATAGCAAAGAAGTAAATGATGATGAGAAACAGGAAGGAGAAGAAACAGTAGGAATAAGTAATACAACTGAAAAAGAGACTAGCAATATAGAGGAGAAAAGTTTGAAAGAAAGTTTAGAAGAGATGATGGGAAATATGTTTGTGAAAATTAAAAGAATGGAAGAGAATATGATAAAGAAAATGGATCAAAATAATAATAAAATGGAGGAGAATATGATAAAGAAAATGGATCAAAATATTAAGAAAATAGATGAAAATAATAAGAAAATGGAGGAAAACATGATTCAAAAGATAGATGACATAAAAGAAGATATTAAAGATTTAAAACAAGAAAAAAAGAGATGGTTAAAAAATTAGAAGAATTCAAGATATACACAGAAAATAAAATAGATGAAACAAAGAAAGAGATGAGAGTAGAAATAATTGGAAGAATAGTAGAAATAGAAGAATTACAAGATAGTAAAATGGAGAACATTAGAAAAGAAATTAAAATTTTAGACGAAAGGGAACAAGAAAATTTTAAAATAGCAGAAGAAGAAAATTTGAAGTTAAAGAAGGAGTTAAAAAATGATGTGCTCATAATAGAAAGAAAAGTAAATGAGAATAGTAAAATGTTACAAAATCATGTAACAAAGGAGTATAATAAATTAGATAATAAAATACAAAATAATGAAGAAGTAATGGTGGGAAGAAAAATTGAATTAGATGAAAAAATAAACCAAATGGAACAAAATATAAAGAAACTACAGGAATATGAAAGGCCTAGAGATCAAATAACTGAGACTAAAATAATTAACACATACATGGTAACAAAAACGGAACATAAATTTGAAGGAAATATTAAAAAGATTCACCCTAAAGTATTTGTTAAGAGTTTAAGAAATAAAGTTAAAAATATTCGAAGTTTTGAAGATATTAAAGAGGTAATAAGAGAAAATCTAGAAAGTCAGGCATTAACATGGTATGATAGTATTGAAGAGGAAATAATAAGTTTTGAAGTGTTTGAAAATTTGTTTATAAGATATTTTTGGGGTGATACGGCACAGACAATAGCTCGGGAAAAACTATACTTTGGGAAGTTCGATGAAAAGAGAAGTAATAATTTAAATAACTATGCGATGCAAATATACACCACAGCTAAATATTTGGAACCGCGGATGAGAGATGAAGAAATAGTTATGTTTATTTCCAGACATTTCAAGGCTGAAATTTCAGAAACTATAGCGATCCAAAACATTAAAACAATGGAGCATTTAGGGAATTATTTAAAAAGAATAGAAGTAACAACACAAAATAAATATAATACTGATTATAACAGAACTAACAATTATAAATTTGACAGGGTAATACAAAATAAAAATTTTAAAAGTAAACATATGGAAACCAATTATCATGACTTAATAAATAATCAAAATAACAGACAATCTGGTGGAAATAATAATAATTATAGATATTTTAATTATGATAATAATGAGAATAATAATAGAAATAATTATCGTAAATATAATAATAGATATAATGAAAATAATAGAATATATTATAATAA